TAGGTGGTTGGTTGCTATCAATAGACCCATGTGTGTGAGGTATAGTCCTGTTTCCATGTACACCCGCCCACACATACCCACACATACCTACCTATGTATCAGCTCACAAGCCGTGTCCACTCCCCCCCATTACAGAGTTTCTGGAGATGTTTGTGGGTGTGGGACCGGCGCGAGTACGCGATCTTTTTGCAGAGGCCAAGAAGCACACACCGTGCATCATCTTCATCGATGAAATAGACGCCATCGGCCGAGAGAGGGGCAAGGCGGGTGAGTGTCTGTGGCTGTCAGATGGGCTCACTACAGATGGTCCTGGTAGTGGGGTGTATGTAGAAGTATGTGTTTGTATGTGTATGTATGGATATTGTATGTTGTCATGCATGTACTGGAGTTGTGTGTTTGTTGTAGATACGCCTGTTATTGATGTCGTCGATGTGTTTGATAAGTTTTTGAGTGTATATATGGTGCAATATATATATATATATATATATATCATATGATATCATGCTTATAATAAAGCCGTATATAGCACTTGCATATGCCAGGTATATATTTGTGTCATAGGTATGTCCCCTATGCATGTGGGTGAGCCATTTAGTCTATTGACTGTCCATGGGGATGTGTGCTGATCGCATAGCTTCAGTTGGTAGAGCCACGGACGCAGTTGATACCGAACTTCTAACTTCTAGGCTATGTGGAGTGACAGCTGTATACTATTGGGAGGTAGGAGCTGATTTCGGGACAATTCGGCCCTATCGAGTATGTTGAGGTTGCTGATGTCAGCAACACTTATTGCAGCACTATCGGACAAGAGACTCTAACTACAATCCACACTCTAGTACCAAGGCTAGGCCAAGTCAGCTCTACGGGATAATTCGGCCCCGTCGCGCATATTGAGGTGCAGCATATCAACACCACTAGTTCCCCCGCCAATTACAGGGCAGGACACATATCCGTCCCAATCCAACAACAACTCTAATCGAACTTCCGCCTAGGCGCACCAAATGCCCATACTTCCCTAAACAAACCCCCCCCACACACACACACACACTATCTCACCCTCACTTTTCCCCTTCAATTCACAGGCCAGTTTGGTGGTCACGACGAGCGGGAGAGCACACTCAATCAGCTGTTAGTGGAGATGGATGGGTTCACGCCTACCACTAACATTGTGGTGTTTGCTGCCACCAACCGTGTGGATGTGTTGGACAAGGCGTTGCAACGTCCCGGACGCTTTGATCGGCAGATACAAGTGGACGCACCGGACATCAAGGGACGCAACTCACTGTATAAGCTGTATCTGAAGAAGATCAAGACAGGCGAGTGGGTGGAGGAGTGGGTGCACATTTATTTTTTATTTGCGTGTAATGTATGTGTATTTATTATATATATATTTGTGTGTGTGTGTGTGTGTGTGTGTGTACGTGTGTGTGTGTGAATGTGTGTGTATGTATGTGAATGTGAGTATATATCTGTATGAATGTGTGTGTATATGTGTGTGAATGTGTGTGTGATTGTGCGTGTATGTGTGTGTGTATGTGCGTGTATGTGTGTCTGTGGGCATGTACGGCTGTGGTGTAGTTGAGAGGTTTGACTATACTGCACAGTGTGCTCTAGTTCCGTTAGTTTTGGGATTGATATACCTACCTACTGACTACAATGGCAGGAGTAGGGGGGGGGTATCATATACCTATCTTATGCTAGAGAAAAGGGTACATACCGATTAGACGGTACGCCCACTGTTAACCTTAGCATAGAGGTGTGCGTTGATTTTGATACATTCAAAGTGCGTATGACTGCGCTCAGAGTGTAGTTATACGCAACTCCCATTGGCCACACAGACTCACTCTCACAGACAGATGCACCTTAAACCCTGAACCCTAAAACCCTAAATCACACCGACGCACTCAGAGAAACAGAATACAGATTACGTTGTATAAGATATAAAGCGAATGTGAACCACTGTACAAAAGACCATAAACTGAGGGTAGACCACTTTATACATATCAACACGTCCGCACGATCTATACTAATCTGTAGCGCCTCTGGCTTCATCACATACCGTCTACAGGAACGAAAGAGGACCCGGAAAAATTGTCCCGGACTTTGGCGGCCCTAACACCCGGGTTCACGGGTGCAGACATTGCCAATGTGTGCAACGAAGGCGCATTAATCGCTGCCAGAGACGCGCAGGACTCAGTCACGGCCAAACACTTTGAAATGGCCATTGAACGCGTGATAGCCGGCATGGAGAAGAAGTCCAGGTACGACTATGAGAAGGCTGCTATGTGGTGTTGTGAGTGGATGTGTGCTGTGTTGTGTTACGAGTGGGTGTGTGCTGTGTTGTGTTGTGAGTGGGTGTGTGCTGTGTTGTGTTGTGAGTGGGTATGTGCCATGTTGTGTTTTGAGTGGGTGAGTGCTATGTTGTGTTGTGAGTGGGTGTGTGCTATGTCATGTTGTGAGTGGTGTGTGCTATGTTGTGTTGTGAGTGGGTGTGTGCTGTGTTGTGTTGTGTTGTGGGTGGGTGTGTGCTGTGCTGTGTTGTGAGTGGGTGTGTGCTATGTTGTGTTGTGAGTGGATGAGTGTTATGTTGTGTTGTGAGTGGGTGGGTGCTATGTTGTGTTGTGAGTGGGTGTGTGCTGTGTTGTGAGTGAGTGTGTGCTACACTATTGTGATTGTGCGTGTTTCTCCTCTACTCTTGTATATATTACACGTGGTGTCTGTGCATGTGTTGTGTATATAGACCTAGTCAACAGATGTCTTGCATACAGTCCTTGCACACTCGCGCGTGTGCATTGCCCCAGTCAAAGCTATCAGGAGAAGTAGACCAGGTAACAAGCACAGGCTATGGTGTCAGGTGTCTATGCGCTGTATACGGCTGCTTTCTATGAGCCGTCTGCGCATGTGCACTGGTATGCTAGTATGAGATTGGTTGCCATGGCGGCTGCATGCGTGGGTGTGCTATGGGTTTATTAAGTGTGTGGGCTGTGTTGCGTATAGGCCCAGTGTAGACCATCACACCGCATATCATCTGCTGAGTGTGTACAGATGTGTGTCCGTCTCACTCGTCTGTGTGTGTGTCCCATCAACTCGGCAATGGGTCGTTTCTGCCGCAGAAGTAAACTCTGCACCCAGACGCAACATGCCGCTAGCTATATCTTTAAACGTTGCCAGGGTTTAGGGATATAGGGTTGAAGATTTCTACGGTTTTTAGGGTTGAGAGGTTTTGCGCTTAGTCGGAAGTCTGGTGCATGACTTCTGGTTCGTGAAACACTCAGACAGTACCATATAGCACACACAGGACCATATAGCACCAGTATAATAGGGTTTAGGTTTTTAGTAGAATACACGAGAAATACACATTCACATTACATAGGCCGTCTATAGTGATGCATTCGGTTTTTACTTGTTTGATATTTTCTCGCAGGGTGCTGAGTGTGCAAGAGAAGACTACCGTGGCGTATCACGAGGCAGGCCACGCTATAACAGGTGTGTTATATGGT